CGGCGATTCATCACCTCTGATTCTTCGTACCTCCCTTGACCCCGCAGCACCTCAGCCAGGTTGTTGGCAGCTATCAAGGTATTGGGGTGGTCCGATCCGAAACATTTCTCGTACCCCTCCAGCGCGCGGCGATTCATCACCTCCGATTCTTCGTACCTCCCTTGCTCTCGCAGCACTAGCGCCAGGCTGTTGACAACCCTAAAAGTATCAGGATGGTCTGATTCGGAAGTATTCTCCACGTCCTTTAGCATATCAAGAAATATCACTTCTGCCTCTCTCACCCTTCCTTGATACCTTCGCACCTCTCCTAAGAGTATAATCCGAGAGCCGGTCTCGCCGCTCCATTCTCGTTTTTTATCTGCTCCTCGCAGAGCAAGGCATTGGCGGATTTGAATCTCAGCATTATGATAAGATCCCATTTCTATATAATGCCCTCCCATGCGATAAACCAGGCTTTCAGCAATTGTATCCGTTGAATCTTTAGTTAATATCAGCGCGTGAGACATGTAAGCTGCACAAATATTCTGCCGTTTGTACTCGTACACAGGGAACAGCCTTGACATAGCTCGTAGTCCTGTAGCCCTCCCCTGATTGGCCTGTTCCATCGGTAAATATGCTTGGATAGATAGTTGGACCAGACGATGAAGCTCGTAAAATGTTGTGCCTTCGTATTTGAACTCCGTAATCAATGAGAATCTCAGTAGTTTCCCAATCGCCTGACAAAATTTAAGCGAATCATCCATTCCCTCCAGTCCAGAATGAGTTAGTAGCTCCTTGGGTATGTTCTGACGATCAATGGATGCAAGTAACCCGAGAATCTTTACCATCAGGGGCATCTGTTCCGCGATTCTGTCAAAAGTGATGAAGTAGGTACCCAGAATACTTTCAGTCATGTCGGCCTCGCGTTGGATCTCGGAAAACTGCTCCGAAAGCAGCTCCTTCGTTCGTTTATCATTCTCCCGGAAAATAGACCAGTAAACGGAGGGCGATGTCCTGTTCTCGGCCATGAAAGCTGCTGAACCCACAACAGCCAGCGGTAGGTGGCCCATCGAGTCTAAAATCCTCACGACAGCCCCTTTTTCTTCATCTTCCAAACTTTGCCAGCTATCAAATCGTTTTGAAAACAAGTCGAGGGCCTCCCCCGGCTCCATCTTGCCCACCCCGATAATTTTACAGCCTTGTCGAACTGCAACCTGGCGAGACCTGGTGGTGAATATCACAGTTCCTTCACGCCCTTGTGGCACAAACTTGGAAATAGGGCTAGTGCTTCCAATAAAATCGGCGTCATTGTCGGCGTTGTCAATAACTAGGATCCAGTAGCCACTATCAGGACCTTCGAGCCATGTCCTTGTACGCCGGAGCAATTCCTCTTCGTCCTTCTCGGTGTCCACGAGAGGAATTCGCACATGCTGTGCAATAGCCTTGAAACCCTCCGTAAACTTCAATATCCCACTTCCCTGCACCCAAAAAACATGGCAACGTCCTTCACTGGAACGCCGGTAAACGTATTCTAGAACAATCTGGGTTTTTCTAAGTGACATTAGTAAACCTCATATAAAGTACAAGGTAACACCAGATACATACCCACAACCCCCCAACCCATGGAGTGCGACTCGGTTATGAGCCCCAGCCCCGCAAACTTCCTCTACCGACTCGATGACCCTCTCCCGGCCTGTGAATGCGCTGTTCCTACAATATGGCACCATCCAGTACGGCCTCGATGCTCCTCGCGGCTCTGATATCACTTTAGTTTCTGGGTGGAAATTTGGGGAGAAACACCAATACCTCCATCCCCCGCCCTCATTTCTTGCCCTTCATTTGTCTCTCTTGGGCTGGTCAGGTCGGGGGGCATCTGTATATTCCAGATGATGTTGCCATTGCCGATGACATTATGGTTACCCGTATTCCCATTGAAGTTCCCGTCGATATTGGTTTGTACTTGACTAATCCTACCAAGAGTATTAGAAGCGTTTGTGATGCTGACAAATAGGGATACCCACCGATCCATCCCCCTATTACTACTTCCAGCTCGCTGCGAGGCCATGTTTGCTGGTTGCATACTATGCTGACAAGCTGCAGCTCGCTTGTCCGAGGCGAAAATAGTCACCGGTTTGTCACTTATCGCGATACCTTAGAATCTCGTGAAATCTACTAGTTCTATCAGCCCCCCTCGAGACGGATTAGGGTTTTCCAGATGTAGTCAAAGACTGGTGTTCGCGGCTCTGTTGACCTGCTAGGCTGGACCTGTAGAGGAGTGGCGGGCGGCCAGTGATAGTGAATTCCACGAGACTTTACGGTAGCTGAAATCTATCCCTCCGCCTGCCTAGGAATAGATCGGAAGCGTTGGGTGTGCTCGAAGGCAGGAATAAATCCGGGGATGGAAATCAGTAATTCCTCGGTCTCTGTCTGTCGCGGGGTGGGATCCTAACTATTGCTCGAGTGCAGAAAAGGCTGAAAGTTCTGATATACTTGTATCATACCGGCAGTGTGGACGCATGCCAGGACTCAGAAAAGGAGGCTGGAACCCAGAAAACAGACAGCAGAAGCACGGGTTAGGGTTGGTGGAAGAACAAGGTTTGGTGTGAAGGAAATGGTGTTTCACTCCGTAAATTTATTCAGCTCTCGATAAGTTTGGACAAGTGGCTGGTTCAGCTTTGGCGAGGATAGGCCAGGGCAAGTTCAGGTGGGAGAACCTGTATTTGGGTGGATATTCCCCCTTTTTCCCCTGAACAAACGAAATAATCTCAGGAGTCCCACTCCTGTGGAGTAGATTCCGGCCTATACCGGTAGTAGTGGTTGGTAATTTACCCGTAGGTTGGGCGGCCTATCGCGATGTTTTGTCGGGGGTTCGCCCCTGGAATTCTTTGTTTGTAAAGAGGCTAGGCATGTGGAAAAATTTCCCATAAGAGCCTAGCCCCACCTTCTCCAGTACTACTGTACCGGTAGTACAGTATGATAATTTACAAGGCGAACGAAGACAAAAACATCTCATCTCAACAAGCAAATACAATTGTAAACAGCTTTTCTTTTCCGTCAAAAGCGAGTTTCTTTTACCCCCGTATTGGTCTCCGTAATTTTGCTATCTGTTTTTCTAGTGAAAATCCTTGCCCCTTATTCGACGGTACTCGAGTACTAGTACATCTTGTGGTCACAAACAGCGTTTTTTCGCGCAGGTGCTAGTAGCTCGACCGAGCACACCATCCAGTGCGGAAGTCAACAGAGACACTTCGACACTGGTACCGGTAGGGTACTCTGGTGCGGGCGCCTGCGCTTGCGGAGAGACTCACTTTGCCTTGCGCAATTGGCCAGAGTGGCTGGGAATACTATATGAAGCCAGCCGATCGAATAATCCTGGTATGGTAGGGTGTGGCGTGGTGTGATAGCCAAATAGCCGAGGACGGTTACCGTATGCAACACCGGTTGTGAGGCCTGAGTGTAACATCCTCATCTTCCCGACAGAAAACTGTCGTAATTTAAACCCCCGATAGCCACCCCCTACTCCAAGTCAGTGCGTAATACAGCAGACAGAGCAACAAGACTCTAACAATCTGTCAGAATACCGGTACCAGATACCCACCCCCCCTTTGCGGTATCTTACCCAAATGTTTCCACCCGAAAGCTGAGGCCCACACGCGACTTACCAGTGTGATACGGTACTCCAACAACAAAATTTCCATCACCCAAATAGCCGCCCACCACCCACTTCAAATCCAGTCCAATTCTCAGATTGGGGGCTTGACTTCCAAGTATCTTGGGGTTTCAGCCAAAGCTCCTACTCCAATTCCCATGCCCATTCATGATCCACCGACATGTGATGCACTACCGCATCTTTGCCCCCAAATACCGGTATATTCCACCCCCCCCCCCAGCCTGCCCTGTACTCGAGTACAACATACAATCTTAGGCCGCTTCGAACAAAGAACCAGCATCTGTTCAATTCCATGAGCAGCACTACAGTAGTACTAGGATACTTTGGTTAGTCCTTGAACTGGATTTTAAAGGGGGCGGGGATGAGGTGTATGGCCATATGCGCATGCAAGGGTATACGTGTGAACGCTTTATACCTGTAGATGATAATTGGTAAATCCCGCCTGTTCTAATCGGCCTACCGAGATGGGACACTCTACCCGTATTAGAGAGCTTGTAGCTAAACGCTGCCCCAGTATCCCCGGATCTTATCCGAGCCCTAAGCACAGTACTCCAGAAGCTCGAATCATTGAACTTCACGCGAGGATGCCCAGAATTCCCTCTTTGAATACGGCGGGGACTGTGAACCCAGCGGAAACTGTCCCCCTGAGCCCTGGCTTAAGACCAAAAAAAGAGGGAAAAACGCCGCACGGCTGAATGGGTGGATGGACCCACAGGGCGTGTGTTGAAATTCGTATGCATGGGATTCAGTTGATCAGGCAGGGGGAAAGCGAGCAGCGG